CGTTTCCAACGTGTGAACGTTGCTTCATCTCTTCTGGCGCGTAATGCATGCGAAACATTTTGGACAGAATTGTCACCGGTGATGAAAAATAGATTCTCTATGCGGATATTAAAAGCGAAAAACAATGGCTAAGTCCTAGACAAAAACCAATTCCGACCGCAAAACATGGACTCCATCCGCAGAAAGTGATGCTTTGCATTTGGTGGGAGTAATTCATTTCGAACTCCTCAATCCACAGCGAACTGTCAATGCAGAGATCTATAGTCAGCAACTGGAACGTTTAAATCAAGCCCTTCATCAGAAACGCCCTTAACTCGTCAATCGGAAAGGTGTTCTTCTTCTTCACGACAATGTACGTCCACATGTGGTACGTTTGACGCAACACAAGATTATGGAGTTGGGTTGGGAAGTTCTCCCCCACCCACCATATTGTCCAGATATGGCACCATCAGATTACCATCTTTTTCGTTTGCTGCATCACCATATTAATGGGAAAACGTATGCAAATGTGGAAGGTGTTAAAGAGGACATCGACATGTTTTTTTGCTTCAAAGCCAAGTTGTTTCTCTAATCAAGGCATTAACAACCTGATTGTAAGATGGAAAAGCATCATCGATAAGAATGGAGACTATTTCAGTTAATAAATGTTTTGTTTTGATATACAAGTTGTTCGGGTTTTTTCATCTAAAAAAAAACGACATTAATTTCTTGACGACCTAATACAATATCACGACTGAATTTATTTTAACTCTACGCGACATTTTGCATCTCCTCTAATGAGTTATCGACATGGTTACAGACTTACAACGCTAAAATCTAGGATTCGATTCCCCGCGGCGGACTTGGAGCACATAACCCATTGTGCTAAAACAAACAATGCGCATATTGTTTAAACATTCTAGGTGTCGCTGTATCCAAATGGTGGTTTAATTTTTTTTTTTATTGAAAAATCATATCATATGTGTGATCATATGAAATAAAATGCAAAATGATAAAAACCCTATAACCCGAGCGCTTTCGAAAGATTGATCTTTCTTCTTCTTTGTATCTTGTGAGTCTGAAATTCGTTCTTTTTTTTTCAATAATCAGAACTTATTTGGCAATACTTAATTTTATTAGCTAAACAATGAGTTCTAAAAGTGTCACTAGATGGCATCAGTTGCTCCATTTCTTCAATTTCACGACGATTGCTTTCAAACTTGCAACTCTTTACCTATTGACACTGGATATAACAGATATAATGTGGTTGACATATTGTTATACATTCCTGTTTACTTTCTATCATGAGGTCTTAGAATACGTACTTATCTATCTATCTCAACATTGTGTACTTAATTGTCATTTGCAAGAAATATACTAGTCAGAAACTCCAAGAATGTCATGGACGATATTGTCATTTACTAGAAATAAACTAGTCAGAAACTTTAAAAATCAGGGACGATATTATTTTTTACTAGAAATAAACTAGGCAGAAACTTTAAGAATGAGGGACGATATTGTCATTTACTAGAAATAAACTAGTCAGGAACTTTAAGAATCAGGGACGATATTGTCATTTACTAGAAATAAACTAGTCAGAAACTTCAATTATTTTATGCTACAAAATTTGATATCCCTCTCTCTCTATAACCGTTCCTTTTCCTCAGACAGACCAGGATGACTTAAATATTTACCTGTTTCTTCTACGTCCCTAGCATAGCGGTATATATATTTATGACATAGCTGTCGTCCCTCATGTTGAACTACTGACCCGAGAAAAGGCAGTCAGTGAGTACCAAGCTAGCATCCACGTTAAAGTATTCACTGTCATGCTTATAACGCACCCACACCTTAAAGTGCTGAAAATATTTTGTGGTAACGAACGGATTCGAAATCAGCTCCGAAATCTAGAACTTCGCTAGACAACCAACCCATGCCTAGAGAGTTAAATTCAGAGCTCTACCACAGAGTAAACCCGCGCCAGCAAGTATACAGCACCTACCAGTCGACTGATAATCAATAAACTTCCAATCACTAAGAATAGGGAATACACCACACCTACCACTAAATGTGGACACTTCGTCAAATTTGTCTTTATTATTAGACTGAGTAAAGCCCCCTCTGGCTCAGCAGCAAGTTAGTGGGCTTATAACGCTAAACATCTGGTTTCGATAACGCTGATTTTAAAGTTCGTGGTCAGATGTGTGTCACGTATCATTTTACCTGATTTTAAAGTTCATGGTCAGATGTGTGTCACGTATCATTTGACCTGATTTTAAAGTTCATGGTCAGATGTGTGTGTCACGTATCATTTGACCTGATTTTAAAGTTCATGGTCAGATGTGTGTCACGTATCATTTGACCTGATTTTAAAGTTCATGGTCAGATGTGTGTGTCACGTATCGTTTGACCCGAGCCTGATGATATCACTAGTATTCTGACTTAAAGTAAAATATAATCCGAATTGTGTAATATCAGTCACAACATCAGTGGGCGTGTTTATTAGGACCAGTCCATAGTTAATATCTAATAAAGCTAAAATCAACAAAACACCACTTCAGCCACCTACAAAGCGCCATCTGGGCTTACCTGACGAACAGTAATTGAAGGATATTTCTAATTGCATCTAAAAATCTCTTGGCAAGTTCCTTAGAGACCCCCCGACGTGTGTCATTACTTGTTGTCAAAAGGAGTAATTCCAGCAGCTAAGCACACACACACAAACATAAATATATAGTGCACGTGCAGTACTTACCAGCGTGTAAAGTGCACGAGGATCATCAGAGTAATTTAGTTGTCGTAAAGGGTCGAATGTGGATCTCGGCTGGGAATAAAAAAAAAAGAATGATTATGTGACTTCCATAAAACTTTTATCACCAGTAAACCTTACAGAGCATAAAAACCATTCCGCTCATCACCACGACGTTGAAATTACCTTATATATTCGTATTCTTCTGTTGCTCGCCCTCTCGTGATATGGAAAAAGTCTTCATCTTTATGTATCGGTTAAATGTTGTTATGTTACTACCAGCTGGAGACTACACTGAGAGGAGTTTCGTCTTTTCCTTCTCGAAATGTTTTTCGCATTATCTTTAAAAAAAAAGTGCAATTAACTTAAAATTACAGCATTTGAACGTCTTTCAAATGCTCTGATTATCTGGCAGTGTTTCAAGCGTTGTTATTAATAGAAGAAAAAACAACAAACAAACATCATCGCCAGATAAGCTTCTCCTCCCTGAAATCACATTCAGCAACAATGTAAGAAATTTATATTCGAATACGCTGTTTCCTAGCACTGTTGTAGTAGTTTAGGAGAGATTTTATTTGTTTGTCTCAGCAATAATGTAAGAAATGTATATTCGAATACGCTGTTTCGTAGCATTGTTATAGTAGTTTAGGGAAGATTTTATTTGTTTGTCTGAGCAACAATGTAAGAAATTTATATTCGAATACGCTGTTTCCTAGCACTGTTGTAGTTTTATTTGTTTGTCGTCTTTTTTATAGCGTATTAGTGTTTAATGAGGACTTGTTTTATTTGAAAAGTTATATTATACAACCGTTAAGCGTTACTCCAAATAGTCTTAAAATTACGAAGTTAAACTGATTATATGTAAAGGTTTGATGGCAGTAGATTTAAATTAACGAGTACAAACACCTTTCTTTAACCTTGTTCATCAAACAAGATTTTTTTTGTACTTTATTATAGACCATAACAAACGATTTTCCATTGATGTCATGGCTCATAAAGATTTTCCTTTGATGTCATGGCCCTTTTGCAAATTTATTATATACCATAGCAAAATATTTTCCATTGATGTCATGGTCCTTTTGCGAATTTATTATATACCATAGCAAAAGATTTTCCTTTGATGTCATGGCCCTTTTACAAATTTATTATATACCATAGCAAAATATTTTCTTTTGATGTCATGGCCCATAAAGATTTTCCTTTGATGTCATGGCCCTTCTGGGAATTTATCATATACCATAACAAAAGATTTTCCTTTGATGTCATGTCCCATAAAGATTTTCCATTGATGTCATGGCTCATAAAAAGTTTCCATTGATGTCATGGCCCTTTTGCGAATTTATTATATACCATAGCAAAATATTTTCCTTTGATGTCATGGCCCTTCTGCGAATTTATTATATACCATAGCAAACGATTTTCCATTGATGTCATGGCTCATAAAGATTTTCCACTGATGTCATGGCCCTTCTGCAAATTTATTATATACCACAACAAAAGATTTTCTTTTGATGTCTTGGCCCATAAAGATTTTCCTTTGATGTCATGGTCCTTTTGCGAATTTATTATATACCATAGCAAAATATTTTCCATTGATGTCATGGCTCATAAAGATTTTCCATTGATGTCATGACCCTTTTGCGAATTTATTATATACCATAGCAAAATATTGTCTTTTTATGTCATGGCCCATAAAGATTTTCCTTTGATGTCATGGTCCTTTTGCAAATTTATTATATACCATAGCAAAATATTTTTTTTTTGATGTCATGGCTCATAAAGATTTTCCTTTGATGTCTTGGCCCTTCTGTGACCTTATTATACGCCATTACTCATACTCGGTAGTATTAACAACATATCTATGAGTCAACCAGACCATGTATGGTCTTCCACCTCCAGGATACCACATCCAGTATTTCCTCAACTGTCTTGTAAATTTTACTGGTCTGTCTTATGAAGTGTTCGACAACCCCAAAAATGAAAAGAACAGGAGGAAATACCATGTCGTTCTTTTTTGATAGATGGAAAAATTGTTTACAAAACTTTTCCCGAGATCCTGGTGTTATTGTAATACACCGTCTCAAGTTCTGGTTGAATCATAAGACATTTGATTCGCATGATTACTCATAAAATACTTGACCCTGGTGGTCATTAATGAAGCTTTTGGTTTATATTCGGAACCATTATCATGTGTCTACGACCCATGTTACTTTTCATTTTACATTTTTTTTTGGGGGGGGGCTACAGTTTCACTAAGAATTTGCCCCCGTTTCTGCGCCTGCAAACTGTCGTAAAATGACAATGATTCAGTTTGATTATTTATCAGCCAGTTTTTATGTAGTCACGTTGTACAGCCAGTGGTTTTCTTTTATATAAATTGTTTAGGCAGAGTATTCATGATGAATCTAAGTTTCAAATGGTCAGCAACTGCCTGTTGTAGAAACACGAGTGTAGAGGACGACGTTTCGAAAGTCTTTCGCCTTTCGTCTACAGGTCTGTGTATATATGGTGTTGTAGAGTGCTTTAAACAGAATGGTCACACCTCCTCCTTCATCAAAAACTCCCTAAAGAAGACCACAACAGAAAGAAAAGATAAAAAAAAACACAACTTCTACCATTTACCCCCCTACCTGCAAAATTTCAGTGAAAAACTCAAACACATAGCCAAAAAATTCAACATAGAAGTCTGTTGGAAATCCTACAATACATTAAGATCCATTCTGGTGAAAAACAAACAGAAATCTATTAATGAGAAACACAAAAACATCATTTATGAAATTCCGTGTTCAAGCAACAAAACACACACATTAGAGAAACGGGAAGAAGACTCGCGACAAGAATAAAAGAACATAAAGACAGTACAAAACTCATGAAAACACAAAATTCAACCATTGCAGAACACGCCATGTTAACTAGACACAAAATAAACTGAAAAAAAACAACTAGAATCATCGACATAGACACATTTTGGAAGACAAAATTAAAGAATCATTTTATATGAACACAATTAAACCTTCCGGATTAGAGGTGAGTAGCCTGTGGCTACCATTGGTTCAAGTTATAGGAAGTCTCTCCACTAATCAGAAACAGGGGTAAACCAACCAATCATAACATAAGACCGACAACGCCCGATGATTTATTATTGTAAAATAATAAACTGCCAGGAACAAAACGCACTGGTTTTCTTTTTCGACGCCCGGTTCGTGAAAGTGGGTTTTCTCAGGGCACTCTCGTTTTCCCCCACAGCAAATTTCTCCGGCATTGAATTTATAGATCCCAGCCGCCCTGAAGGGCCCTCTGTCCCACAGGGGGCCGTTCGAATTGTCAAGTCTCGATTTCCCCTTCTTTTTGTCTTTCTCTTAACTCTTCATGATCCCCCCCCCCCCGACTGCTTGTTCAGGCACTCTCAAACATATCATGTCAACATAACATCAAGCTCAACTCATATACAGCCCACACCACCATCACATGTGGGGCGAAGAGAAGCAGGAGCTTCTGAGCACCCCTGGTAATCCCTCTAGGTTTCACCTCGGTGTATTTTTTATACCAAAATTCCCGCCACTGTTTTGATTTGATTTGACACACTGACTTTGGGGCGAAGAAAAATAACTCTAATTTCTGACCACCCCTGGGTTATTAAACCCAAATACCTACGACGATTGGATATCACACATTGAGCCGAAGACGAAAGACTTGCGAAACGTCGTCCTCTACACTTGTGTTTCTACAACAGGCAATAGCCGTCCATACAACTAAGTTTCACCTGTGACTGTATTCTTAAAGAAAACATATTGAAATCTAGCCTAGAAACATAAGTTTTGAATTTATACGATAAATGAGGTCCATATATGGACATACCACGTGAACATATTATTTCCTTGCCATTTTTCTGTAAACTTGTTTTCGACAATGTTTCTGGCTCGACTCGTAATCTGAGGGTCGCGGGTTCGAATCCCCGTCCCGCCAAACATGCTCGCCATTTCAGCAGTAATATGACGGTCAATCCCACTATTCGTTGGTAAAAGAGTAGCCCAAGAGTTGGCGGTGGGTG